CAAATACTTCACGTTTTAACTTTCTATGTACTTTTTGTGAACGATTAAATTTAATTGCAGACGGTTTTAGGCCGCTTGTCAACCAACTTAATGACACTATTGCTTATACAAATTCATTCTAAAACCAATATTTTTCTGTCAACCAAAGTGATTTGAGAGAGAAAGAGAGGATTCATAAGTTATCCGTCGGCTTGAGGTAGTGACCGACGTATTTGCTCGAAAATACTACCTAGCTGGAAAAACGAGACATATTTATGAAAAATGGTAACGAAAGTAGGGATGTACTCGACGACTCACTTAAGCGTTACCGTGGCCCGTGGGCAGAGATAGGAAAATACTGACCGGGTAAAGAACCAATCAGCTTGCAGGATTCGTTACCGTGCCCTCTAAAAAAAATAAAAGTAGAAACGTGTTATTTTTAATTTTTCATTAAAGCGCTTTGTAGATATATTAAACCCCTAAGGGTTCTGTATACCTTTTCAAAACAGATTTTTTTAAATGAATTTGTTACAACTTTTAAATGACTTACTCTCAAGAAGCTTCCTCTTTGCGCAGGTTGGTTTGAGGCGGAAAACGTCAGTTGTTCCCAGCACGAGATAAAAAGATTGACTGAGATTAAAAGTAAAAATTTCCCATAAAACATGTGATAACGAGATATTTTGTAAAAAAAAAACTTAGGATAAAGATCAATCCCATCGGAACATGACGCATAGGTGGCGTCAGGTCATTTTTATCAAATGCAAATGAGAAAAAGATCGCCGATGATATATCTAGAGAACAAAGGTGTGAAACAACTTTAGAATGTGCAGAACAAAAGAAAGGAGAGACTAAGCCAAAATTTTTGCGGGAACGGAGTCTGTTTAAGAGTTCAGGTTGGTTCTTTTCCATAATACATCTCATAAACAGTGTACACAAACTTTTCATTGCACTTCTTTAAGATCTTTTAAAAATTTTCTGTGAGAATTACTTGGCCCTTGTCGGTCATGGTTCAGGTCAGGTGTTTGCCAATCACGAAGAAATTCGAAAATGAGAGGAAATATCAAGAAGAAAAACATCACGAGTGTCTTAAGAGTCAATACTTATGAAAATTTACCTTGGAAACACCACCACGAGAACTAAAGGAACTTCTAAAAAACAAAACTGTTAGGGATTAAGGTCAAAACCAAGCATATGTTTTATGATATTCTTGTCACCCATAATAATAATAATATTAATAATAATAATAATAATAATAATAATACTTAATTCAAATACATATATACTCATAAACATGTTACACGATGCATATTTGAAAAGGTGGACCGCAAGGTTATCCCTATAAAAGGTCCCCTAACTGAACTTTAAAAATATTAAAAAATTATCAAAAACGCGCGTAAAAATCATCAGTACAGGTACGAAATGGTATAGTAAGAATGATATTTAAAATGAAAACATACACAATTAAAATATGAGCTTCTGTGTCAATAAATCTTCATCCATCTTTTTAAGCCTTTTTTAAATTTTGTCAAGGCTAATTTCAGTGAAGAGATGGTTTAGCAAACTGTTCCAGTCTTTGACGATTCTCACGAAGAAGGAGTCCTTAAAGAAGTTTACTTAAGCTAATTTAGTTTGTATTTTGTATGGATGGTTGGCTTTAATGTTTTTTACCTCTACAAAACTCGAAATAGTCATCAAAGCCTAAGCCATTTAGACCAAACACTGTCTTGTAGCATTCCACCACAGATAGGTATGCTCTTCGATGCTGAAGTGTGTTCCAGTTTAGCAATATACATCGTTCTTCATATGACATCTCGCGTAGTGTTTGACCGAAAGCGATTCTCGATGCTCTTCGTTGTACTTTTTCGATTGCCAACCTATCTTCAACTAAATAGGGCGACTATACCAGGCATGCACATTCTAGGATTGGTCTAACCAAGGACTTATAGAGCATAGAGAAAATTTCCCTGTTGTTGCCACCAACTGTACATTTTAGTAAGCCCACCACCTTGATGCTTTAGTTACAATTGCATCCACGTGGTTCGACCAGGATAAGTCTCTTGACACATGAGCACCCAGGTCCTTGGATGAGTTAACTGACTCTAATTCTGTATTTGACAGATGATGATGACGTTTACTTTCCACTTCGCTGCTAGTGCAACGAATGCTGCTCAATCTATCGTTTTATTATGTTGCCAAGTTCGGCTAGATTGCTTTGTTGTTGTGTGAATACAGATGAAAAATATGAGTTCATATTCTTAAGGGGAAAGTGTGTAACATCTGGTGGAAAGAAATGTCAAGTTAATTTTTGGGGTTTTCGAACATATACAGGAAACTAGGCCTATTTTCCTTTTATCGAGAACCAAATGAACAACATATTTTTAGTTTTCAAACTGAGAACTGAATAATATCATACTGAAGAAACTGACTGACTAACTTTAATGAGGCTACGCCCTTGTTCGCATCTGATAAAGAACCAAATACGAAACAGGAGAACGTAACTACTCAGTTGTTTTACCATAGGTTTGTTTGAAACATCGGATATAGTCGAGGAGCTACGGCTCGTCACTTAAGAGAGTTAATATACATCGAGTTGTCTTTTAAATCGGGAAAAAAATTATGGCTCTAGATTTGGTTGTTTTTTCGTGCGGCTTCACAATATGTTACATCCATTTTTAAGGTACTAGTGATCGTTGCGATATAATTGGCTTTCAGAAGTGCGATTTATCCATTAATCGAGCTGATTTTTGCCCCTGATCGC